GAAGCTGACCACTCACCTCCAGTTAGTGCCATGATCAAGAAAATGTGGAGCTATACGTCCACTCCTCGATACACCCTCATGGCGTAGTGCTTAATTAGTTTACCTTTAGCATATAATCTGGCTTTCAGATATCAATATCGCGTTGTAATGCATAACTTGTCATTCACTAAAAGGAGGTGGGATATAACCCCGCCCTCTTATTAATGCAGTCTATGCTGTATATCTAGAGACAATAACGTTTATTTTACGAACTAACCTGTTATTAACAAGGAGTCAGAAAGCTTTCAGCTAACTTTGTAACTAAGATTATATTTTCTTTAATGTTATACCGCGTGGCATTAAATTTAGTGCAGTTCAAACTTTATAAGCGTCGACGCTGCCCTCAAATAGGGGTATTTCAAGAATAAAGTAACGAAACACGAAGTAATTTCCACAAAATATTTAACACCAGAAAATGTGCTCCATCATTTCTTAGAAATTCAGTACGGCTCAGAAGAGGACAGACCGATTCCCTCTCATTCTGTCTTCTCAGCGAGCCAATGGGAACAGAGGTCCATTCTTCCGTTTTCCTCCTGTTTCATATATAATCCGAAATTTCCTGCCAGGCGATTACTCTGCTTGTCACCTGCTTCCAAGCTGGTATCTTTCTCGGCTTATTCCTCTACCCTGAAGATGGTGGCGATATTTTCCTCTGAGACGTCGGTTGACTTTCAACGGCCTACACGACGTTCTATCCCAGAAGGTAGTACTCTTCAATAAAGTACCTGGGTTTGAATTAATGTAAATTACTTACCAATCTTCGAAAGAGACGCCACTTTTTGGAAAACCTGGCTATAGAAGTGACAACCGTGTTGGTTGTAAATAAAACGTGTTGCACCAAAACCCTACGTCATTTATGGATGTAAGCTCACATACTGTAGCATTGGTTTAATCCACTGTAGTTAATTACTAGGGACTACATACTTATTTACATATGGATCTGAGCCCTTCTTAAGGAGAAGCCAAATCTGCAGCTACTCAAGAATTTCCCAGCATTTTATGGAACCCGAAGTTTCATTACCGTGTTCACAGGAGCCCTCCAGTGGTCCCTATCCTGAACCAGATGAATCTAATCCATACCATCTCATCCTATCTCTCTAAAATCCATTTTAGTATTGTTCAGCCACCTACGCCTTGATCTTCCCAGTGGTCTCTTTCCTTCCGGCTTTCCCACCAATATCCTATATGCATTTCTTTTCTCCCCATTCGTGCTATACGTCCTGCCCACCTCATCAGGGACTACATAGAATATATATATATGTGTGTGTGTGTGTTGCCACGGTGCTCAGGACAAACCTAGGGCTGTTAGAGGGGAGGGGTGTGGAGTAAAATGTAATTGAAATACACGTACATAAATTGCTGGAAGCTATGCTCACTTCCGGGCCTCAGTACCAATAACGCTTGTCATAGTCTACTCAATTGAAGCTCTGTTACCCACCAGAATCCATCAGTCCCAACACAGAATATATACTGGAGAGCCTAGACAGATATAAAGCAGAAGAATAAATATTAATCGTGAATACAATCTACATTCAGAATTAGTATATGTGGAATTCTTGGTTGAATATGTGTGTAGTTTCAATAGGAAGTCACACATGTGTAGTATTCTGCCACAGAACACGGTCTGCATAGTTTCATACGTTCTTGTATCATCGGTTTTTTCATGCGCTAACGGGATGTTACAATCCGAGGACTAAACCCGTTATAAACTTCCTTCTTACTCATATTCCTTCGTCGAAGTGAAGTTGAAAAAAGCACAACTTGTTTTTCTAACTCGCAGTCATTCTCCATCAATAAATAAGATTTCGTAAAGTTATTGTTTTTTCACGCAGATGGTGTGGTCTTCCATCTTGAAGGAGTGACAAGGACTAGAAGTCCATCGCCATACAACAACGAAATGTTACACAGGTTCTGGGATATAGACAGATTCCTTGTGTTCGGCTGGTTCGTGCGATCCAATGGTGTGCTCTTGTGAACACAGTGAAGAAAGTTCGCGTCCCTTAAAAACGAACACTTCTCTAGACCAAGGGAGCTACTGTGCTCCATGAAATGACTTAATTAGTTATAATGATAATTTAATTATCACAAATCTAAGTGGTAATTGACAATCGAGAAATGTAAGGTATAGATATTCAGAAAAAATAATTCAATTCGTGTTTATTTACATGCAAACTTAAGAGCACAGTGGAGAATTACAAAGTTAGTACGAGTACATAGAAATATACAACAACAACATTAATAATAACAATAATAATGATGATGATGATGATGATAATAATAATAATAATAATAATTTGATGGAAGAGTGCAATTTACGAAGCTCCCCATCACCCAGTTTCTTCCTGTACTTTCTTTAAGGTCCAAATATTCCCCTCACGTACTTCCAGGTTAATATCTGAAATACCTTCACATCACGAGCGTTCATTATGGTATTGGATAGTCAGAATACGTGTAGATGCTGATCGTGTTTTGAATACATTGGCACACAAAACTCAAGGCTTTAGAAGTGAGTTAGATAAATTAAAGTGGAGTTCAAATTTCGGTTTTAAAAATAATTTAACTGGTAATTCTGCTAGTATGATTCGTATCAAATTGAAGCCTCTCCGTTGTAGTGGATATACACATATTAGTGTTTACAGTTCTATCTTCAGTCCCTAACTTTTATTCATATCGATTACTTATTTCCAAGGAGAGCGGGAGACGGTATGGCTCCAGCTGTCTGTTCCCACAGAATCCCACAGAGATGACAGGCGACTGTGTTGCAGTCCTTTCTCGCTCTTCGCCTGTGGCGAAATTTCTCTCTTCTTGGCTTATGTAGACTGATCCAATTCGTACAATTCTTTACAATTATGTACTCGTATAGCACCAATATTTCATTACACAGAAAGTTTTCGATTTCAGAGTATTTTATCAACTTGTTATAAGATAAATATTAATGGAATTCTGTGAAATTTAACGTTTCCAAAGCGGCGACTGTGAAAAGACGTGTTTTCTGGGATCTGGCGCTATGCAGTCTGGTAGAAATGTTCTAACGTTTCGGTGCAATATACTTCCTCCATTTTCATAGTCTTAGAGTGAATCAAACAATAAGGAAGCTGTAAGCAGAGAAGAATTTGTGTAAGAGGAGTAACTTTCGTTGCGTGACCAATTTTGGTGAGAGTTTATGCGAGTGTGCCTTATGGTGGGTTACAAGCCGCCATACAAAATAGGACACGACCGTGGTTGCGCAGTGTGTAAAGGGCTGTATGCACTACTGGCAGTGTGATTCATTCTGAAGTCCAATTTTAGCAAATTTCTTCGAACCCATTCACCTCAGATTGTGGGAAATGTACCGCATATTGGTTCCTACATAACATAGAATACCAAATAAAATTCTACGTTAAATGAAGATAGTTTAGCTTTAGAGAATTTTTAAAGATGACAATTTAAATATTTGTCATATTTGTAGTATTGCAGTCTTACGAGCATAGTCAACTAAATTAAATTTAATATTTGATAGTAAAGGTAACGCTATCCCTGTAACAGGCCATGGAGACCCATAGGGTTGTGAGACGGCGAGGCTCCCATATTTTCTAGACAGTCGGCTCACAGATGGCGGTGAGGTTGTCAGCCTTACGCGCCGGCCGCCCTTTACCTCCAGGAAGATTCCTGGTACTTATTTCAGTTAGAGGCTGAGTCGACCCCAGGATCATAGTGCGACTGGAAGGATTATGTCAATTGAAAAATCCACCTCATCGGGACTCGGCTAGTAACATAATGTCTCAACCAACTACGCTACTGTGTGCCCCCAATATTTGATAGCAGTATACCGAAATCTTGAACAGCCCATAGATAGATGGGACGATGCTATTAGGCCATTAAGTGCGAAGTAGGGAAAAAGCAGTTAATGGTTTGATGCAGCTATGACATATGCTCGTTCTAATCATTTTCGATTTAATGACCATTGTACCTGAGGTTTTCTTCGTTCTCTGAAAGCGAATTGTGTTATGAGAACTTCAAACCTCAATCCAAATCCCTAACTACTAACAATGCCTGATAGTTTCAGTTGTAATGTCGACATTAAGTTGCCCTGAAGTTCACTCGTTTGTTTTTATATGCATTCGAGCCTCCCATCTTATCACACACACGACGATGAATGATCCCATGAATGCTGGATATATTACAGGTTTCTTCCGCAGTATCACTATTACGGTTTTAAAAATTATTTCGAATGAATAACAAATTTAAATAAAATTTGGAAATACTTTAAGCATTACAGTAAGAGCTGCAAACACTCTCTATCCTGTAAGATTTGAGGTTTTCACGGCTGTGACTATGAATAGAACAGTCTTCTGGGAACCAGCGAGAGCAGGTGCAACAAATTCCAGTCTTTACCCTGAAGATGGAGGCGATACGTTCCACCGAAACGTCGATTAACACGGCGCCACATTCCATAAGACTGATTTCTTCACTCTCTCTCCTATTTATCAAGTATGTGTTTTGGCAGCCAAGATGTTAGCTCCGCATAGTTTCCACGCCCAGATCTCAAGAAACCGCCAATACGCGGTGTGACGATTTGACACACAGACCTAGATGCGTTTTAAGCACTGCGAACTTCATAGATAGGGCATAGAAGCGAATAGGTTCATTTAATGAGGAAATAATATTTGCTTTGAAAGAACGTCGGTGATGGTTCTACACTATCTCGTTACGCTATCATTCCCCTTTTAAACTTCCGTTTTATGAGCAGATATGCGGCGAAAGGGGGGGGGGTGAGCAGCTACATGGACGCAGCAGTTCTGTGCTGAGTTCATATTTCAGACACATTAAATTACAGACGGTTTTCTTGAATATTTTGTCTCTCTTGAGGTGTATTGTTTAACAAATTTTCTCTTGGTAAATGCTGCTAACAAATATTTAATATGTAATCCTTTCATCAAATCACCACTCTTACTAATCGTATTTTTCTCCACAATCTCCAGTTGCGGTCTGGAATACGTGTGGGCATTATTTCTTCGGCAAGTGATGAACGGTAAGTTCAGTAAAGAAATTTAATGGTGAAATTGGAGGAATAAAAAGAGTAACACTTGTTGCATCATTGACGGACTGTGGTATACATAGACGGTTTAATTAAGTCTTGTTTGAATAATTTTAAGGAAATGAAATGAAAGAAGTTTAGAAATAGGAAAAAATAATCAGCTACACTCATTCATCGCTGCTATAAGAACCCAATAACTTTGCTTATTCAGTCCTCTCTTTACCTACGCAAGTAAATGACAACAAATTAACCATTGGAGCTAAAGTGAGAAATTTGGTACAGAGGCGGGTTAAAACATAATATACAAATTTTGTATAGTATACTGTTTAAAGTCAAAAGTTGGGAGCATGGTAAAGGTACAAATATCTGACGATATTAAAGCAGCCAAAATCTATACTGAAGTAATACGTTTACTTCAAAGAAGCTATCACCACCACTAGCACCATTCATTCGTTCATTCATCATTGGCATTGAAACCCTCCATTGGGCCCTGGCCGCTATTTCAGTTTCGCAATCCTATGCACACTCGGTAGGACTCCTTGGACGAGTGAGCAACCCGTCGCAAGGCCGCTACTTACACTCAGGAGAGCACAAACACAGATCCCAGCTTACGGGCGTGCCAAGAGTTCATACACTATAACGCGCTGCCCCTGTTATCCGCCATCACCACTACTATTGTTGCAAATACTACAAGTAATAGTAATAATTTGAAGGCATTTACGTTTGAAACTAAAAAGATCTGAGTCTACTAGAAGCTGAGTGTGTAACCACCTGCGAAAGAGTGCAACACTGTAGCGCGTTGGGCGTATTGCTCTCTTTTGTTGACTATAACTGTACGTTAAATAAATACAACATCAACGACAAAATCTTTCTAGAAATGCAAATCTCTGCAACAGAAAAGTTAGCTTAATGAGTTCTGCACAGAATTCCTTGTAAAACCAAGCTGTTATGGATGCATAGCAATATTTGAGAGAATGTTTTTCTCAAGCTTTTTTTTTTTCTTAAATGTGTAGTTAACATTCGGCACTTGGGATTAGGAGGTCCCTATCATTGCAAGAAAGGTGGAGGAATTATTATCCAATTGTATTTTATTATTGTGAAAATTAGACGAGAGGATAAGCGTTTTGAACTTAATGTAGTAAAGAAGTTAATTCGCTTTTTTCATTTAAATTTGAGCGTTTGTATTTATTACGGCATGTCTTATGATGTAATGTTTTTTACGTGGACGAGTCTTTCGAACAGTTGCTTTGCCATTTTTGAAATAAAGTGCTAGATATGAATACGTTTCCACATCTTCTTCCACCTTGGTTAATTACAGTTTCTTACTAGTTCAACTTGAGATCTCTGAAGGATGGAAATGCGCAGCATATCTGTACACAGGATGTAGATGTTTACTGGGGATCACGATGCTGTGAACTGCCGGGCGGTTGTGGGGAGGGGGGGTTGTAGACATGAGATGCGGGCGGATAGGATTATCTCCATTCAATTACCCACGTACATGTGCTCTCTCTCTCTCCTCCGGATGCGCCTAGCAAACACAACTTCCATAGCAGTGGTAGCCGAGACTTGATTGGCTGTTGGTTTAACGTCCATTAAGGAAGAAAGCTTCCCTACACCTATAAGGATGAGGTAAAGAATAACAAAACACTGGATGAATAATGGGTGTTATAATAAGAAAAGCGAAGCAGAAAATTAGAAAAGAAATTACCTCTGCTCGAAACAAGAAGGGGAAGAGGATGACATTACACAATGTTCCGGCTTTCTCAGGGAAAATCTGCTCTTAGTGAGAAGTAATACGAATCGAATTATGTATAAATAATACATCAACTTTCTGTGCTTTCTATTGGCATTTGTTCTAGGTTAAGTGCTAAACTAAACTCTCTTGTTTAGGGCAAATTACTAATAAAATAATATAATCTGTTAAACGTCCTCCACCCGAAGCGTTACGTGGCCTCCCCCATCATATATTTCTGATCCGTTCTCCGTACAGTACATTGCGTATACCTGTATGTAAGACTAACCTCTGCATACAAACCCACCTTCTTAATGTAGCACTCAGAACGGATTTTCCTTCATTTTGCTTCTCCTCAACATATTGTGGCACTGCCTGCGCTGAAAGCAATGGAACCGTTAATTTGCTTTCAATGTGTACACATAGCATGCAGAGTTTGCATAGTCGTGCTGAACATGTAGGCAGCTGTAAGCTTACATCGTGTCCTGAGTCTCAACACGGCTGTAACATCACTCGTACGAAATGTTAAGGTCTCTTTCTCTCTCTCACGCACTAGCTCTCGCTGTAGCCCTGGCATGGTTTTCGCCTTTCAATTAATAATTAATTTGTAATTAGAATGTGATTCATCGCTGCACTTCCAAGTAGTAGCTATGGTAACGGCAACAATTCGGAATCAGTATTTGCATGTACTAACTTGTCGTGAAATATACGTTGATCAAATTCATTTGCTCAAAGCTAGTGGATCATTTTAAGCCTGTTCTTAAGGAAGCAAATATATTATGTAGAGGGTCATGTATACAGTACATGTGCCTCAACAGGCGAGACATGGCGAAAAAACACGGCTCAGTACACATTGTAAACCTAAAGGAGATTGTGGAATGGAGCATGTAATGGGACATAAACATGAATGAAATTTAATTAAAGAACAGAAAGTGCAATGTGTTATTCTTCTTTTTGAGTTTTAGTTGAAAGCTATAGACGTATCATACTTAGATGATTTTAATTGGAATAATATTAGAACTAAAATTAATTTCAAATAAAACTGTCCGTTACGTAGGCAAAAATAAATTATTAACGAAGGAGCATAAATGGACCTATAGAAAGAAAAAATTCAATCAAACTTATTTAAGCTATTATCCAATTAATAGTTTCAAATACGGTAACTTAAATAATTATAACAAACAAAATATTCCTTGAGTAATCTCATATGTGTGTGTTATAATGCGAAATAATAATTAGGTAAAGAAAACTACCGCCGGTCACGGTAGCCGAGCGGTCTAAGGCGTGCACTGTCTTTGCTCCCGCGGAAGCCGGGATCGTGGGTTCGAATTCCACTCAGGGCACGGATGTTTGTGTGCGTTTTTCTGTGTTTGTGTACAGGTAGAGGCCTTTCGACGAGCTGATCACCCGCCCAAGGAGTCCTACCGTATGTCTAAGATCTAGAAAAACCGAAATGAACGGAGAAGTTCATGGAGGTAGGCCTAGGCCCACTGGGGCTGTAGTGCCGGGGGGGGGGAAGAAAACTGCCAGACGTAATATTAATGAGCATAATATGTCATTTTAAAATTCGAGTTCTTGTACAATTTATTTTAATTGTTATATTATGAGAAATATTAGATACACCTTCGCTGCAAAGAAAACGTGAAACTTCACATAGTAGGGACGATTTGCGGACCGCTACTCACGAAAAATACGAGTACAATGGCGGTTTATCCTGAAGGAAGTAAATTAATGTTGGTAGGAGCACCCTCGGTACTGCCTGGAGAGGCTGAGTAGGCAGCAGCTGAGCATAGCGAATCCCACCAGGAGCTCTGCAGCCACTCACTACACAGAGTTCATTTTCCATAGTTGGTTGAGGGGCTATGCTACAAGCCGGAAGATCACAGGTTCAAGTCCCGATGAGGCCATTGGATTTTTTTTTACAATTGACCTAATCCTTCCAGCCGCACTATGGCCCTGGAGTCGACCAGTCTCTAACAGAAATGAGTATTAGGAATTAATTAAATAATTTTCCTGGGGAGTAAAGCGCGGCCGGCGCGTAAGGCTGATAACCTTACCGCCATCTTTGAGCCGATTGTCTAGAAAATGTGAGACCCTCAACGTCTCACAACCCTATTGGCCTTCACGGCCTGTTACAGGGACAGCTTTACATTTTTTCTTTTTACTTACTAAAATGAATATTGTTTTAAGGGTTAAAATAAAAAACATGCTCATGTTCCGAGCTTGGGAGATTATAATTTGAAGCATCGGTTTTTGTAATTTTACAGAAGTAACATTTCTGTACAGATACAAGTTACTGAGTTGCGTACTAATTTATTGTGTTACTGTTCCTCTACGAGACAAGATCATTCGTAAGATAATTGGGCTTTGTATTATTCCGGAACGCCGATCACAAGGACCGCGCAGTCTAAAGCATGAACCGTCTTCGCCCGTTCTAACACTGGGATCGTGTGTTCGAATCCCACTCTAAGTATGGATGTGTATGTTTATTCTGTATTTGTGTTGTTCTTTGTGTAGACATCGGCCTTGCGAAGGGCTGATCCCCCGTCAAGGAGTCCTACCGACTGTGTATATATTAAGAAACTGAAAAAAAAGCGGCCAAGATACAGATGGGCTGTACAGCCGTAGATTGTAGATACAGATGTTGTACTGGAACCCCTCATTATGAGATATGTTTGTCGGTTGGCATGTATATCCTTTCACTTGTTCTGTGCGTGTTAATATAAGCCTTGTCTTATTAGTAGAAGCTTTGCTAAGGGTTACGTAGAGGGGAAATCACTTGGAGCGTAAAGCAGATACTTGTAAAGCTCGTCAGTAACAAGTGCGTTGAGTGCAAATCGCGAGGAGGTCCCGGTGCTAGGCTAAACCTCGCCCGAGCAGGAGAGACCACGTTAATGGGTGTCATTCAACAGCTGCTGTGTCACCGGTGAATTGCCCTCTCAACTTGGGATTCTAACTAGTATTTCCTGCCATCCTACTGGAAAATGAAACACAAATTTCAACACCTTATAGCATAATTATAAAACGTACAATAAAACCGAAACTGTACTTTACTTAATAGCATGACTGACATGTGATCTCTAGGTTGGTGTCCAGCTTATTTTAGAACTGCATTCATAGATTTTTCGTAATTCAAATATCATATTCCTTATTTTGAAGAAACGTAGGCTTATACGACCATACTTCTGTGTGTATCCCCCTGTCCACTTTCGAATGGCTGAACCAGTTTTTATGGAAATTCGTATGCATATCTTGGCACCTC